ACCCCTAACCCTTTAGGAAAAAAACACCAGGGGTGTTCAAACTTTACAGCTTTAAGACTTGTGGACTTCAGCTCCCAGAATTCATCCTCTCACTCTTCATCTTGATGATGTGTGGACAGGCAGGGGGAGGGAGCTGGAACTGATTTTAAACGGCACTGTAGATTTGTGGAACCTCTTCTATAGAAGAGGTTAGAACTGGCAGGAACCCACTCCTGGAAGGGGCTAAATAAAAGAGCTTCTGTAAATATGAAAGGTAAAAGGATTAAAGTAATGAAATCATTTGGGAGGAAACTGAAGGAAAGGACTGCAGAAAGGAGAATTTTAAACTTTTGTGTGGAAACAGTGATACATCAAGGAATCAATAATAGGCACAAATTATAATTAGGTTTAAATTATGTAGCATTTTTCATGATTATGATCTGGAAGGGTCATTGCTAAATGTAATGAGAAAAGTACAGTATATGATGGAAGTAAAGCTTATATAAGAATAAATTGAATGCTTAGTGAATGATTTAAACTGAGCAGTGACTAAGAGTAAGATTTGCAACAGCTCATTGATAAGGTAATGTTGTTATAGATAAATATATAAAGAATATGTGTGGCAAGAGAAGAAGACATGAGTTACTATAATTGGGGACATAAATGTGTGAATAATTTTATATGCCAATGTTGCCATCCCAATGAATATTACTAATGTCAGACAGATTGTGGGATATAGTAAGGAATTTGGATATGAAACTAATGTATTAAAGGCCAAGATAGCTTTCCTTGTGTGGAAAATTGAAATGAAGGTTGTATAGTATACATAAATAGCCATTTTGATAGATAGAATGTTCACTGAAGATACTAAAATAGAAACAACAGAATACAGAATAACAGAGTAACAGAGTTGGAGATCTTGTAGTCCAACCCCCTGCTCAAATCCTATACCATTCTGGACAAACTGCTCTCCATTTTGTTTCTTAAAAATCTCCAGTGATGGAATACATACAACCTCTGAGGCAAGCCATTCCACTGTTTAATTGTTCTCAATGTCAGATTTCTCCTTAGTTCTAAGTTGATTCTCTCCTTGAGTTTCCATCCTTCCTGCTTTTAGGTACTTCACAGAGCAGGTTGACCCCATCTGCTTTGTGGCAGCTGCTCAGATTTTGGAATACTACTATCATGTCATCCCTAGTCCTTCTTTTCATTAGATTAGAAAGCCCATTTCCTGCAATTGTTTTTGCTTCCAGTCTCCCAATCATCTTTGTTTATCTCCTCTGTATTCTTTCTAGAATCTCAACATCTTTTTTCTATCTTAATGGCCAAAACTAAATGTAGTATTTCAAGTTTGATATTACCAAAATATAAAGTAGTGCTAACACATCACAGTCTTGATTCTATCCCTCTGTTATTGTAGCCTAGGACCGTATTGGCTTTTTTGGTGGCTGCAGGACACTATTGACTCATATTTAAGTGGTTGTTCATTAAGATTCCCAGTTTCTGCTATTGAGCCAAGTACTGTTCCACATCTTCAGTACCTGTGAATTTTGTTTTTCTTGCCTAAGTGTAAAACCTGGCTTTTCCTACAACTGAATTTCATTTTATTAGATAGGGCACAGTGTTCAATCTGCCAAGATCCTTCTGAATCTTGAGCCTATCTTCTGGGGTGTTGGCTATTCCTGCCAGCTTGGTGTTGTCTGAAAGTTTGATGAGTTTGCATTTTGTCTCCTCATCTAAATCATTTATGAAGATGATTTATAATGATTTTGAAGAGTAAGGCCACATTTGGGATACTGTATATAAGGAATAGTTGCTAGAATTGAGTATGTTTAGTTTAATGAAAAGAAGAGCTAGGGGTGACATGATAGCAGTGTTCTGACATCTCAGGGGTTGCCACAAAGAAGAAGTCAAACTATTCTCCAAAGCACCTTAGGACAGGACAAGAAGTAATGGATGGAAACTAATTAAGGAGAGAAGCACTTAGAACTAAGAAGAATTTCCCTGACAATTAGAACAAGTAATGAGTGGAAAAACTTGGCTCCAGAAGTTCTGAATGCTCCAATACTGGAGGTTTTTAAGAAGAGATTGGATAACCATTCGTCTGAAGTGGTGTAGGATTTCCTGCCTAAACAGGGGGTTGGACTAGAAGACTTCTAAGGTCCCTTCTCTACATGTATACTACATGTTGAGTTGGTCAGCTAGGGTAAATGGATGAATGGGTTGAGGAGAAGATTATGAAGGAAGACATCCTTAGAAAAGGGATATCTTAAGTATTAATCTTCATATGGATATGATGAAAACAAGGACTCTGTAGAATAAAGAGATTTGGGGATGTATAGATAATGGTGTTGGTCAGAGGTGGGTTCCTACCAGTTTGCACCTATTTGGTAGAACCGGTTCGTCAAATCTACCGAACCGGTTAGAAGAGGTTCCATCAGTGGACCC